TGTCAGAGACGAAGTAGGCACAGAACATAGAGCTGTATTTTTCATGGCAATGTGTGCTGCTAGGAACTTTCCTCTGGTTGTGAGAGAGAAGCTCGTAAAGGAGCTAGATTATATAGGAGTAATGGTGGCAAGTTTAAAAATGGAAGAGCCAATTAGCAGCAGGAAGACCAAAAGGCAAGTCACTGAGATTGCCCTTACATCCAATGGGGCTAAGTATACGTTTCAGGACAGACACTGTCCTATAAAGGATATTTTCAGGTAAAAGGACTGCATGTGTTTTTACAAATATTAATCAATTTTTACAAAAATTACAAATTCAGATTCTTCTGCTGGATTCAAGCACAATTCCTCACATAACAGGAGTTTAACACTATGTATTTTTAGACCAGTGTACAAGAGATTCTGCTTTCAAAGACTTCCTTTAGGCTTCAAGTCCATTCTTGAGTTTTCACAGGGAAGTGTAGGAAAAGCCATTCACTTGAAGCAACTGTGGCTGCTTAAATAGATACTGAAGATGTCAAGTAGAGAGAAAACCAGTAGGGAATCTGAAAAAAGTATCCAAGAGGGCCTGAGCAGTAGGATTAGACAGAAATGCAAATGTAAAGGCAGAGAAATAACATAAAAGATTAACTGTCAACAAGATAAAACAGAGTCATTGCAAATATGCCATCCACAGAGATAACAAGGGTGTCCAGAGGCCTGTTAGCACGTGAATGTTACATGAGAGTTCGTATCACACAGGCAATCTGTGCAAGTAGCTTTTGAGTTACTACACAAAATGGACATACTGGGCTGTAAATCTGGGAAAAGAATTCCCAGATTAAAGGCATTAATAAAGACAACTCCTGGCCTTATGTATATTGGCACTGGAAGACAGACAAAGTCTTCAAAAGACGGCTTACAGGCAGTATTATTGAAAAAATAATCAATGGAAATGTGTGGCCTGTGTTTCTAGGGCGCTTGTCAACACCATGATTTGAGGCACAGACTGAGAGAGCAGAGCCAGAGCTCTGCTCTCTGATAGTAAGAAATGTCACATATTTGTTTATTCACCTGTTATGGTCAGAGCTGAGACAAACCACTTTGTAGGCAAAAGAAAGACCAGCTTCCAGAATATAAAAACACTGTGACTTTTTAGTGTTTTGGGGTTTTTTTAGGTAAAACCATTCAATTTGACAATAAAGTTTAAGTTGCAGAAATAATTACTGGTCAAAAACATACTTTCTAGAGCATTCAAGAGGTCTGCTTTTGAAAACAACACAGAGAATGACATAGCATCTGGAAATAAAATTTTAAAACGTATTTTCCTATTTCAGAAGAAAGTGGGCTAGGTTTGGCAAGGCTGTACAGAAGATGACACAATGCAGAAAGTCGCGAAGGTTACCACGTGTTGCATAGCGAGGGCATTGCATACCAAGCCCATATGACCAATTCAGATCAGAGTTTTCTGTGTTTAGCAGCATATGCTTCAGAGGTAACAGCATAGTGATGTCAATGTGTTATGATCTGATGTGCATCACAGAGTACAGGACACTCACAAGGCTGTTGAAAAATGTGAGAGAGAAGACCATATGTTGATTCTTCTGAACCTGTTGTAAGTATCTGACTTGGGCATTAACGTGAAATTGCATTTGGATGGAATTTAACTTCAGAACACGTTACGGCATGCGCTAATGCTCTATTTGTTTGGGTATGGAGTCCCAGAAATTTCGTCTAGCAATGGTGCCCTGTTCAGCAGCTCAGACCTGAAATCATTTGTAAGGAATGAGGTATATCCAGATATCCTGAATACAACGGTGAGCTGAGTTAAAACTGTTAAAAAACAATTCAAGCAAGCCATGAAGCTGAGAAGTGATTCATACTTTCACTGAACTTGAGAGGAATATGGTTGAAAAATGGTTTCTGGCCAGCTGAAATTGGTTAAGCAGAGAGTCCCAGTACTCCCAATTTAGTCCATATAACAGTGGAAGGTACAATGGGTCTGAAGTATATAATAAATTGCTCACAGCCCACCTAAATCATATCATAATTCAGATTTTTTAAGGTAGGTGATGCTGTTTGCATACACCATGGTGTTTCCTGGACCCTGAGGGCTGTGGGAAAATTGCTCATTGTTCATATGAAGGACAAAGTCCAAAAGGGCAGAGTCTTAGGAGAAACAACTGGCAAGGAAAATGCATTGTTCTTGTAAAGGCTGTACTGAACTTACTGCTTCTTGAAAACAAACGGAAAAACAAGGATTCTGCAATGCTGTGAGAGGAAAGACAGCACCAGTAAATGCAGCTGAGACCAGATGCCTCTGAGGAGATCCATGAGAATCTGCAGAGCTCTGCAAAGACTTACTGAGTATTGCTAAAAAGCATATGAGATTTAGCATGTCCCATGTTAGCCTTATAACAACTGATTACACACCTGAGGGATGGGATGCCATCCAGAGGGACCTGGACAAGCTTGAGAAGTGGGCCCATGTGAACATCATGAGGTTCAACAAGGCCAAGTGCAAGGTCCTGCACCTGGGTCAGGGCAACCTCCGCTATCAATACAGGCTGGGGGATGAAGGGATTGAGAGCAGCCCTGAGGAGAAGGACTTGGGGGTACCTGTGGATGAAAAGCTGGACATGAGCTGGCAATGTACGTTCGCAGCCTAGAAAGCCAACCATATCCTGGGCTGCATCAAAAGAAGTGTGGCCAGCAGGTCGAGGGAGGTGATTCTGCCCCTGTACTCCACTCTCCTCAGACCCCACCTGGAGTACTGCGTCCAGCTCTGGGGTCCCCAAAATAAGACGGACATGAACCTGTTGGAGCGAGTCCAGAGGAAGGCCACAAAAATGATCAGAGGGATGGAACACCTCTCCTATGAGGACAGGCTGAGGGAGCTGGGGTTGTTCAGCCTGGAGAAGAGAAGGCTCTGGGGAGACTTTATTGTGGCCTTTCAGTACTTAAAGGGAGCTTATAAGAAAGATGGGGATAAACTTTTTGGTAGGGCCTGTTGCGATAGGACAAGGGGTAATGGTTTTAAACTAAAAGAGGGTAGATTTAGACTAGATTTAAGGAAGAAATTTTTTACGGTGAGCATGGTGAAACACTGTAACAGGCTGCCCAGAGAGGCGGTAGATGCCCCATCCCTGGAAACAGTCAAGGTCAGGGTGAACGGGGCTCTGAGCAACCTGATCTAGTTGAAGATGTCCCTGCTCATTGTAGGGGGATTGGACTAGATGACCTTTGAAGGTCCCTTCCAACCCAAACTATTCTATGACTATTCTATGAGGCACATGGCTGAATATGAGCCAGCAGTGTGCCCAGGTGGCTAAGAAGGCCAACAGCGTCCTGGGCTTGCCTCAGAAATAGCGTGGCCAGCAGGACCAGGGAAGTGATCGTCCCCTTGTACTTGGCACTGGTGAGGCCGCACCTCAAATACTGTGTTCAGTTTTGGGCTGCTCACTACAAGAAGGACATCGAGGTGCTGGAGTGTGTCCAAAGAAGGGCAACGAAGCTGGTGAAGGGTCTAGAGCACAAGTCTTATGAGGAGCGGCTGAGGGAGATGGGGTTGTTTAGTCTGGAGAAGAGGAGGCTGAGGGGAGACCTTATTGCTCTCTACAACTACCTGCATTGGAACAGGCTGCCCAGGGAAGTGGTTGAGTCTCCATCCCTGGAGGTATTTAAAAGACAGGTAGAGGTGGTGCTTAGGGACATGGTTTAGTGGTGGACTTGGCAGTGCTAGGTTAATGGTTGGACTTGATAATCTCAAAGGTCTTTTCCAACCTAAATGATTCTATGATTCTATATGATTCTCTGATTATATTCCTACAAAGGAGAAAATGTAAGGCTCGGGTGCTGACTGACTGACGGTGGCTTAACAAGGAGCAGAGTGAACTGGTCTGAGCTGTTAAATCCACAGACAGACTTGGCGAGAGGCTGAGGCAATGAATCATGCTTGATTATGTCAGTTACACTGTTGAACTCTGTTATCACTGTAATAAGCCTTTTATACTACAAATCCTGACTCTCTAACGAACCCAGCCTCCACGCTCTGTACGCTAGGGCTGTCAGAAAGACCAATCCCAGAGCAAAAGGAGTGCAGCTGTAGGTATTAACCCAGATCTAAACTTGTCTTTTTTGCTATAAGGGTATCATCTTGTAAGTGCCAAATATATGTACATAATTTATGTATACTTGGTAATCTGCATCAAGATGTAATCCACAACTATTTTAACTTACATTAATCTTAAGTGACTTTGCTAATTGAAGACATGCAGTAAGGAAAGATGTTTGTGCCTGCCTTGTCCTCTTGAGCCAAAATGCAGAGAGGCTCTTGTTGAATCAAGGGGCAGAGAGGGATATCGCTTTGGTTTCCAAAGCTTGATCAAAAGGACCCTGATGTCAGTGAAGTATAAGTGACAAAATAAAGTGGGAGGAAGAGTCAAGATTTTGAGGCCTCACTTAGATCATGTGTAAGAAATGATAAATATCTCAGAGACATTTTAAGGTGCTGATCCAAAGTCCACATGAGTCAGCAGAAGCTCTGCACTTCTTCCCTTGGGCATGGATCAGGCCCTGCACTACTCCAGGTTTTGCTCAGGTGTTAGTTCTTACTAGTCAAAGTTTCAGAATCCTCAAATTGCAGAAAGTATGCGGCCAAACCTTTATCATTTTAACAACAGTACTAAATATTTTGTAACTCCGATCTGTACAGGCTTTAAAAGAGAGCACTATGTTTTGTAGCTGCAGTTCTGAACTGGGAGAGTAACCAGTTAATCACCCAAGGATCATTTGTTTACAATGGCAGGCTTGAGCCATGCAATTCCATGTGCAAATTAAAAGGGGGGGGGGTGGGTTTGAGGTTTATTTGTGAACAATTTGGCAGTCTTTGAATAAATTATATGAACTTATCATGCACAAATAAGCTCAAAATCTTTCTCCACCCCTATTTTGTATATTCGTTTGCATCGGTTTTGTCTGATTTAGCAAAGGAGCTAAAATAAACATCTGCTCTCTTTCAGGGATAAATTTAGGGATTACTTCCAAGATTTCAATAAGGCCTTTCATAAAGTGGATAAAAATAGAGATGGCTATGTAACAGTATGTGACCTGCACAGGATCCTACAAGAATTCAACTATTACCTTGATCATGATCAGTTCAATAGTCTTCTAAACAGGTTTGTATTATTATCTCCTAAGCACCTCTTCGGTCACACCCAGCAAAGCCTATAAGATTCTACTTAGTGTTAAGCATGTAAGAAGCTCTGTTAAAACTAATGGAGATACCCACATGCTTAAAACTAAATATAAGTGAAAAATCTTTTTAGTTAATGCATTGATTCCGCAGGTAATGAGAGTGAAATGGCTTCTTACATAAAAAAGTATGCTTTGAGTATGTGTATTTGTTTGCTAGTTTGTTTTATTTATTTATTTTCAATTTAATAGAACGAGTGTGTGAAACAGATCCTGTTCAAACTAGAAAGAGAATTAAATCAGGTTATAAAATAGCAATAATTTTCAAATGATTCAATGCTGCTGCCATGCAAAACTATCCTTTTAATTCTCTGTGATAATATGAGTAAGTAGAAAAATCTCTTTTGTAGAGGCTGAAGAACACAAAGGACCTGCTCCAACACTAGGTTTCTGGGGTTCTCTGCACCAAACAGTCCCCCAAAGGTCATATGCCTGGCAGCACTGGGTTTTGTTCGCCAGAGCCTGCCAGACCAGACTCTTTTTTGAAATAAAATTAACAAAGTCTTTTCACAGTTCACCTTTAATTGGGTGATCAACTTTTTCTGAATTGAAACCTTAATAGGAATCTGCTGCTTGTTTCTTTCTCAAAGACCTCTTGATGATAAACACCTCCATTCATTGTAATTTTGTGCAGATTATTCCTTTCTTGATCCAAAATAGTCTTTTCTAAATAATACAGAGTAGATTAGCATATGCATTTAGTTTTATTACTAAAATTTTAATGCCCACATGGCAATTTATTTCTCCACTGAAATGGTGTTGATTATTTCCTTTTCCACACACTGTCTCCAATATTGGAGCCAGCTTGACACGGGTAGTATGTGGGAGTGCTGTGCAGCTGCAAGATGCAAAATCAGGGCTCTTGAATATTTTTTTTCTTACTAGCAGATATGGGGTCTATAGTTAATTTCTTTTCCAGCCTGTTTTATAAAGCTTCCTCTTTGTTTTAGTGGCTCTCCCCATTAATTAGACATTCTTGTAACTGGATATTCTGGTGATTGGTGGCTGAGGCATTGGTCCCCAGTGATTTACTGTGGAAACAGATGATAAAAGTACGTTACAGTAATTCAGTTTTAAACAAGAAAATCAGGGTTGTGTAGTGGGGCCGTCTCCTCTGTCAAGTCTTGCCTCCTTAGGACTTGCCTTGACCATAATTCTAACAAAAAAGCTGAATGCAAGACGAAAAAGAGTCCAGCCTTTCCCCTACAACATAGGAATTGTCTACCTAATACGTGTGTAAAGAATCTATAGTTCTGATAATTGGCCATAAAATTATTAAAGTCTATTAAAAACCTCTCCATAGATGGTAACTGTAAGGTCAATCTGGAATAATTTTATGGGAGCCAATGGATCTACATCAAAAACACCCAACATATGCGGTAGTCTGGAGACTCTCTGATTGTCTTTCAATGATAGGAAATTCCATAAACTGACTGCACTGGCTTTATACTGGGGAAGAGAGAGCAGAGCAAGCCCCTGCTACTGTATCCCTTGTGGTGATGAACTTTACAGGCTCATTAGATGGGTTTGAAGTCCTTGTTTAAAATATACCAGGTGTCTTTTCATTAAGTGGTCACAAGTCACAGGACACTGGAGGAAAGTAGCTTTTCCTGTAAGGGTTAGTGCTATTCATCTTGTCTTAGTCTTTCACGCTAAATAACTTTTATTTTCACATATTTTCCGCGTATGTGAAGCTTGCCTTAATTCCAGTCTTTTTATGGTAAAACATCTTGGAATAAAAATTACTTTAGTTTGGTAACAAAGTCCTCTGCAAAAAAAAAAAAAAATTCCTCAAATCATATGCAAGAGCTCATCTTTCCCCATGCTGATATTTGATGCAAAAATATATTCACTGTTGTTACCCGGAGCTATCTGTAGTCAGCTCTGTAACCCACTGAATTTCCGATGTGACAGAACACGAAATTCCCCAGTGTCTGTGATCCAGCAGATGTTTCAGCTGACAGACGGAAATTCGGCAAGTTGTGAGTGCAGCCTGCAGAGCCCGCGGGCTGGGCTCCCAGGTACAGCCTGACCACAGGTGATCAGAAGAGAAACCCTCACCGGACACAGTGTGCCACGAGTCAATGTGGCAGCCCTCTGTGCAGCTCAGTGGACACACCAAAGGAGGGAGGGCCAGTGCCTGAGACAGAGTGAGGCTGAGTCCTGCCAAGAGCCTGTAAAATAGTTCTCTAGTGGCCTGCCAAACCATGCAGAGCGAAGTACAGGTTGAGAGGGAAGGCAAGCCCTTCTATCACAAACGTAAGGAGAAGCATTGTATGGAACCTGGTTTAGTTTCCTCCCCTGTGGTAGAGAAATCGTGAGTGAGTATAGAACTGTGCTGGTACATCCATGAAACGTATCACGAAGCGGTACTGGATGTCCTAGCTCGTGTCTGGTAACAGCTTACCAGGCTGTATGTGGCTTCTTTCTCTCAGAATTGTAATGATCATGACATATTGGGAGGCTTAAGCAGCACTTCAGCATCTGTGAATCAAAAGTATTTTTGTAAAGCAGAAAGTTAAGGGAAAGCACCAGCACGTAGCACAAGGAACATCTACTCTTCAACAGAGTCTATCAGACTGCGTTTACACTGTGACATGAAAAGGAGATTCAGGGTCAAGGTTGGGAGCCTACGTGTCCTCTGGCCACATTGGGGATGGTAAGCTCAGCAGGAGGTTGTGACCGAAATACTGTGCTGTGCTTAAAAAGCACAAAATTAATGCTGATGGACTGGAAGGTTGTGCACTCAGGCCAGGCTAAAGCAGGCCTCCTCTTGAGCATCTCAAGATTGGCCTGGATCTGCATCTGAGAGTGCAGTTGCATCCAATTGATCAGATTGGTGGCTTAGACCCAAGAAGGAGCCTGGGCTGAACTAACAGGATTTATACACTGACAGCACAAGCATACTCTGAAGTGCTGCTGCAGTACAAATAATACATCATAATAATTAATCACTACAGACAACAGCGAGATAATTATTTAAAATCATTGATATCTCATTCTGTGTTTTTCCCTTAGCTTAGGAATCAGCATTCATGACAGCAAGCTCTCTTATTTTGATTTCCTGAGAGCAATTGATGATGGCAGAGCATCTAAATACCAACAGAGACAAAAGCAGGCTGCACCACCTGCAAGCTTTGCAGCGCTCAGCTTAGAACAGACCCTAATTAAGATAAAAGAAATAGTTGCATCATCTTATGATTTGTTGTACAAGGTAAGTTTCATGTGGTCACCGCATCTTATTTAATCTCTATTTTTTTCTGCCTGGCTGGGGACTAACCCAAAGGTTTCAAAACTTTTCTGCTATTATTTGAGTGCTACCAACAACCTTGGCCTGTGTAGAAAGAGCATCTTCTGACAACTGCAGACTTTTTAACTGATTGTATTCTGGTAACTCCACAAAACAAGCATATCAAACCAAGCCTAGAGGTTTTGTGAAGATAGGATTGGAAAGGAAAAAGCAAATAGCAAATTACCAGGACCCTTCCTCTCTTCCCCAAACCTCTTTTCCTCCTCCAGTTGTCTGTAAATTGTGTCCCAAGCATGTAAATATCACGTCTTTCAAATAGCTCGGTTCAGTTTCCTAAGCTGAGACTTATTATATGTGGATATAATGTGCGACTGCAGGCAGGCATTATGGTTTTATCAGTGTGAGATGAAAGGATCACGCAGTAACTGAGGATACAGACATATGATCAGATGTGAGCACATTATAGTGGCTGCAGAAGTTAGCACCTGTCAGCTGGGGCTCTGCAACTATCTGTATTTATGCTCTTGGCCACTTCTGACACTGACACAGACAGATAAGGTGCATTAGCTATTGAGCAGCAAGTTTCCTGTTTTTTCCACCTGTGAAATGAGAAAAATAAAAATAACCACTTCTGTCTAGAATTTTGAAAGCCCTGAATGAAAAAACGCTGTGTATTAAGCAGTCTTAGACTGTTGTGTTGGAGTCTACTGAAATGCAGCAGCCTCTAGACTAAATAATTCTTGATGCCACAGTAAGATTGTTTTCAAGCATGGGAAAGAATAATCGAAAAGACCTTGAAGAAAACATTCCTTTCACAAAGAACCATAGAGCCATCTCATCTGCACCTGCAGTTTCAGGTCCAGTTTAAGCTCATGGCTTTAGAGGCGGGCTTATGCTTGCAAAGATGGTCTCGCTACCCCTGTGTCCCCAGCAATGTGGTCCTCCCTCCTGCCTTGTGTCAAAAGCAGCACTCGTCTTCCTGCCCAATGACCCGGGTCAGGGAACTTCAACCTGACAAAAGCCTCATCAGTTGTGTGTGGCCACAGGACAGCTGCTGCCCGCCCAAGGGAGGGGAAGGGAACAGTGGCTAGGAAGACGATGGGGGCAGAAATTCCCTGTCATCAATGGCTGCATTTCTGAAATCTCAATCTGTGGACTCTGTCCTGCAGTTAAAAATAACACAGGCTTCCAACAAAGATGTCACTAGTGAAGTCACTGGTACAAGCACCCCAAAAAAAAGTAGTACCATGGGACATGCTGTTTCTTTACAAAAATCTCTTTTCACACTATTTGGAGACTCCTGGGACATTTGCAGACTTATTGGGGTCATGTTCCCACTTTTGGCCAGATAAACTAACTCTTGAACAGGGTACTGAAATATTTATATAATCACTTTACATTTTTCATAGTAAGGGGAAAAAAAATCCTTCCTGTGCTCTGCATTATTGAAATAAGAAATAGATAAATTCAATAGCAGAGGTTAGTGTTTGTTAAACTTTATTAGAAGACAGTATCTGTCCTCTCATCCCTGTGCATCTTGGGAATGGAGAAGGTCACAGTTCTGTCTGCTGAGGATATAATTTGAAAATGACTTTTGGCATGAACAAATTGTCCATTTAGTCTTTTAGGATACCATTTGGTGGTTAATATAACTTCAGGGACCAAGGGATTTTCTCCATGGAGAGCCAGACTTTGTCCACCATGCTATGGAAAAGCAGAACGTTTTCTCATCTCCCTTACATGAGAAACTAAGGAAGTTCTCAATTTTCTTCTGAGCCATTTTTTGAGTAATAGTTGCTGCCACCTATGTGATGGAGGATTTTAATGACATAAGCTTATAACAAAATATTTTGTTAGAAGGAGGCAGATCTGAAAGCACAGTTCCTAGAGTCCAGCTAGTTGGAAAAAAAGAAACCATCACATCCCATCCACAGCATTTCTGCAACTGAATACAGACCTTTGAAGTTTCAGAACAAATAGTTTAAGAGTTCAGGTGGATCCTCTCTGTCAGTATAATAATTTCCCATTCATTTTCACCATACTCAGTACAATGCATACTATATACTCAATGCTTTGTTTTTCCCATAACTTTCAGTATGTAAGCAAAGATGAAACTTTCATATTAAGTTACAGAATCCTCTTTAGTGATCAAAGGATTCCTTTCCAATGTCCTTTGGATATGGTAGCATTTGTTTTGCCAGTAGATGTGGTTCATGTACATTAAAATATACATTTCTAAACCCATTATTTGTAACAGTTCTAATGCTAAAACATAAAAATTGCTGTATTACACCAACATGCTATAGTGTTAGCAGACTAATAGGACTTTAACCTGAAGTTTTGAAAAGTGTAATATTCATTTACATTCATGGAATCAGTGATTTATATGTGCAGCATCATAAATAAGGGGCAGAATAAAACAAGGGGGCATGGTAAGTTAGTATCAGCCAGGCAGAATGAGAGTTGATATAACCCACAACTCTTCTAGACCTTGGTATTTCTGCCACTCGTTTGGACTACTCTCTTGCATGCCTTCTGCTGCAACTGTGCTAAACTTAATCTTTTTCCCCTGGAAAACCTTTGGAAAATTCCCATGAAGAACAGGCTGGGCATTTTGTGCAAGGGAGGATAAGAAGAGAGCAAGGAAGCCTTCAGGATGAGCTGGAGCTAATGAGGATGGAGGACTATCGAGCCCTTTAGGGAGTAGAAAGCAAACTTGCCCCGCCAGGGACAAAGGGGACAGTCATTTGGGGCGGGGGGGAACAAAAGGCAAATTAAATGTGCCCAGGTGAGTTTAATTTAAAATATTTTGATTAAAATTATTTAAGGCAGCCCTTAAATATTTTTGTTTGCTTCCTCTCTTATCTTAATGACTACTTTTTCTGGAGTGTTTGGATACTTGATATAATGCCTTTTTGCTTTTACTGAAGGTTGTTGTTTATTTCCATATTTATATTTACATGTGGTACAGAAATACAGGCTATTTTTGGCTTATTTCAACAATTGCATCTCATTTTTAAAAGAAAGGAAAGCTTCAAACTAAGTCAGGTTCTGAGAACTGTGTTTTGTTTCTTCTTGTACAAAATACCTGCAAGTAAAAGGCATATGGGTCTCAGGTATTTCCAGGTGAACTGTGAAATGGTTGCTAAAAAAGACTTCTCTTTTGGAAGGTCTGGGTTTGCTTAAATAATTTGAATTCTTGCTTCTCAGGCATTTTCTCTATTTGATAAAGAAGGCACTGGAGTAATTAAAGCACTGGAATTTCAGCAAGTACTTGACCATTTCTGCTTTAAATTATCAGACAGACAGTTCAGGCACCTTCTCAAGAACCTTAACCTTTGTGAGGACTTCACAGTAGACTGGAAAGTTTTCCTGAAAAACATAAATCCCCTCATAGAGGTAAGAAGAGCTACCAAGCTATAATATATTTCTTTAAAAGATACGATCTGATGTGTTAGAAGTGACTGACTGACTGACTAACTGAGCACGCAAAATTCACATATCTTTCTGTTGATCTCAGTTGAACTCCACTGAAGCCCTTGTCTCCTTATAAAAGGCTCTCAGAAGTTAAGTCTTGCACTCATGTAGATTGAGCGCTGTACATGTGGCAAGCTGAAAGCATGACCACAGATACAGCCAGATTGCCCCAGTGGGGTGACATAGGATGTGGGATATCCAAATATGCCCAGTGATCCCTGACCTGCCTAGATGGACTGGCAGGGGCTGGACAGAAAAGTGAGTGGAGTGGGAAGCCCACCAGGTTCTTGGTGCCAAACAGTAATAGCAGCGTAGATGTAGCAGGACGGTCAAACACAGAGATTAGTCAAGAGCAGAGAAAATCTTCACTGCAGCCATGGACAGAGTCTTCTGATGCTCTGAATATGCATGTCGCCACAACTCAAATAAAACTAGAGTTGCCGTTTCTCTGTGGCAGAGGTTTGTGTCCACAGTGCCCCCCTTGGAGTCGTTCACTTGGTGCAGACTGCAGGAACAGATCCTTCAGTTCATAATCACATCCTTTTATCAGCTCAGCAATCCTTACCATGTTTGTAAATAAAGGAACATTATCACAAAGTGTAAGTAAAAGAAGTCTCTGTCTTCTTTTAATTTCACAGTCCTTCCCTTTTCCCTGGCTTCTCCCCTCTTAGTCTGCCTTAGCCAGCGGGACGTGGGTATAAGTAGATCTGAGGGTGCAGGAGTCCAAATGACATTACTTACAGCTCATTTCTGAACTTGGCTAAGGATGTGAAAGCTGGTTACTAGCTGGAAAAAAAGCAGTTCTAAAAAAAAAAAAAAAAAGTAAGTATTAACTTGCATCTTATGTTCTAATAAGTAACTATGTTTCATTTTCAAAAGTGTATGCTTGAAGCACAAATAAAATGAGAAAAATAATAATCATCACCCAATGGAAAACCATATAAAAAGCCTACCACTTTATTGCCATGGCGATAATAGAATGTTGTGCTAAACAAATCCGTATAGAGCTATATGGTGATTAAATCTTGTGTCATAAAGTAGAAGCTTGGAAAACCAGTGAGATCTGTCTCAGCCTCTTCGTGTTGCGAGTCAAAGTCTGTCAGGCTTCAAATAATCACAGGTCTTGAGTGATTCACGAGAGGAGGGACCACAGGTTTCGAATGAAGGAGGACCCATAAACAGCTTCAAACACTTGTAATGTGTTGTAGGCTTTTGTAGCGGGTTAGAGACTTTACCTATGCGTGTCAGTTACCAATAGGCATAACTTTACCAAAGTGCTTATTAAAAGTGTAGCTTTACTTAAAATTTTATAAGGTTGCTTAAATGTATTTTATTCTCTGTAAATTTAGCATTAATATTTATAGTAGTGTTAACTGTTACTTTGTCCTTAGTGGCAGGACTACATTTAATTATAGTTATTTAAAAAATAGTTGGGGATTTTTAAATATTTGTATTTTCAGCTTATTAAAATTAAAATGCAATCTTAACAGATATAATAGATTACATGGTTCTCAAGTGTAAAACAGTGGAATACTTTGTACAGGTTAGAAAATGGCGCATTTCCCCCTGTCCTGCTTTTATGCTGATATAAATTCAATAAGCTTCAACTGAGTCATACCAGCACAAAGACCAATTGTATGAAATATAACATATCTGTATGATTATTTTAAGAATGTATTTGTGTGCTGTAATATTGACCCGCCAGCAAGCTTTCATGTTAACTTTAGAATAGGTAGCTTCTTTTGTTAGGGAAAGTTTTGCTGTAAAGTCTTCGCATCCTCAAAGTAGGTGCTAAGCCTCCTTAACAACTTGACAAGCTGCACAATTCCTGGGATCAAACTCCGCAAGAGTGTACGTTTTAACGTGAAGTCTCTTTAAACTGTTAGTCCTTCAAGACCCCAAATACTTTCCACCTCAGCTTAGCAAAAAAGTAAGCTACCTCCACATCTTTCAGGAGGTACTCGGTCCATGACAGGACTGGAGCCTGTTCTGCTTTTTTCAATATTAGGCATTCACCTTGAACAGTTTTCTGTGCTGTGTTTGTTAGGGGTAGAAGGGATAAATCCATCATTAAAAACTCAAATTAATCCACAAGGGAACATTTTCGAAAAGACAAAACAAATACGAACCAGGTTCACAGTGCTGGTTCAGCTTCCAGATGCTCTCAAATTTCATGTTTTCATTTTGGGTTCAACCCAAAATTTCCCACGCCTTTGCAATTTCATCCCACCCTGGGTTCACAGGTATTCCTGGGCTCCTGTGCAGGTTCTGAGAGGAGACTGGTTGTTAAATTATTCTCTTCATCCAAACACGCTACAATTTTGGCCTCTAAAGTATGTATCTAAATTAATGAGGTATGCAATGCATTCAGGCACGTTAGGAAAACTGATCATTATGCTATACAATTTGATCACTGAAGTATATTAAAAAGTAACAAGTAAAGTATGCAGCTTGATCATTAAAGTATGGAAAATTTACTGAACTAGTGAAGTATGAGCCTGGGATGACTTTTGTCTCAAATGGCACCTCATAAATAACACCCACAACCACAAAGGCAAACATTCACAAACCCAAAAGCCATACAGGTTTAAGTTGTATTTTTTTCCTTAGAAAACAGCTGAATAAGGGGAGATGAAAAAAATCTTGCAGAAATTATTTCTAAATGTTTTATACATCACATGGATCTTTTGATGGCTTTGACATATGTTGATGAGCTTTACGTTCTGATTAACTCTCTAGAATACACACTACAGAGCTGTATATGAGCAGATGCCCACTGAAATACAGCTCTGTAGAGCTGTAGGGCTATACTATACAAAAATAGAATTAAAGAAACGTAAAGTATTTTAAGCAATATGATTGCATCTTAATATTCAGATAAGAAAGAGCCAAGGTTATGGCACTTAGCTTGGATGTTGCTAACCAACTGCAGAAGAGCTGAGGAAGGAGACAGAGAAGACATTGTCTTAGGTGGGACGCTATTAACCATCAGTGGGCTCTCTGAGGATATTTGTAGAAGTCCAGACCCTGGAGCTTGGAATATGCATCATGAACTTTTCTTGACTGACCTGCCAGTCTAGTGATTCATCAGGCCTGAGTGGAGCTCTTCTGCATTAAAATAAGCAGCTAATGCAGTCCAGCTTAATGAAAGCTGCACTTGGGAATCAGACCCCCCCAAAAGAAAATGTACTCGCATGTCATTACCCACTGTGAGCTATTTCAGATGTGGAAGGGGAAAAAAGTAAAGAACATGTTAAAAGCAGTAGTTCAGGGCATGCTGGTCAGGTCTAGAACAGCAAGGTGTCCATACGGGATCAGCACAGCTGCGCTACAGTGGGGAGTATATGGGGAAAGGAGGGATTGTGATTAGAGCCAAACAATTTGTTGTTTAGCCTTTCTGGAGCCGAGAGTGCTGAGTGATTTGCTGCAAGCTTAGTAAACCTTCACCTGTCAAGTCCAGCAGTGAGTAGAAAGAGAGCAGGTCAGGTTGAGGAGATGACAGAAGGAAGGGACAGATCATCACTTGTGCCTGTTCAAGGGCAGGAACTGAGGTAATGAGGGGTTTGCTGACACGTGTGTCTTTCAGCTCACAAAGGGAATTACTGGAGTGAGTGGAAATATATTCAGCAAAGCTTTTTTTTAAAAATGTGATTTCATCTAAAATGATTAAATTTGGAAATCAGATTGACGTCCAGGACTTCTTTGTAGAAAAATTTGCAGAACATTTCAATATCAAATCAGGCATTTGATTTAGCTTCATCCTGAACTTTCTGTTTCCACACTAAATTCTCCATTTTTGTTTGTATTTAGCTTCCTGTTCTGAGTTTCTCTGCTGTCTGTCTCATGCTGCAGAGTGCCTTCTTCACCAGCTGAGCGCATTTTGTTTTCAGCCAGTTGCATCTAATCAACCTTCCTGCAAAACTGCTGGCTGCTTTGTTCATCCTTGATGCTCTTCCTGACAGAGAGAGCATCCTGCTTCTCCTTGGACCAGTACCCATGAGAGGATTCCCCTCAGTACAGCAAGTTCACGTCTCTTCTCGAAGCCTGGCACTGTGAGAACTGTACCTCCAGGTCCCAGGACTGAGGTCCAGGACTAGTTTCTGCTATTCGCTAGTGAAAAGCACGGGTACATCGTCACTGTCTCCATCTTTGTTGGGCATATTTCTGGTGGAGAGTCTACAGAGCTAAAGCCACTTGCTCTCACGTCTCATTGCTCTCAGCAGTGGCTGCTACAACCCCTTCCTGTAAAATACAAACAAAACAGCTTCTTTGTGATCTTGGAAACTATTCCTAAATCAACAGAGGAGACAGCACTGATACAGCTTACCAGCTCCATGAACAGAGGGTGGCTGTGCTGTGACTCCCCAAACATTGATTTGCCTGCAAGTGATGAAGTGCGCAGAGTGCAACTCTACAGTGTATCTGTTGTAACCATGTTGTTTTGGAGCTCAAAAAACCCACACAACAGAGAAGTGACATCCTCAGTCTTTCCGCAACCTTGCTTCCTCAATTCAGCGGTGTTACTAACCCTGCCCCTGTGCACTGTGTTCAGGCGTGGGGAGCTGAAGTTCATTTTGCTGCCATGATCTACCTGTGAAATTGCAGCAGCAATACATAAGGACCTGCTCTCCAGAGGCTGTGCTTTTCCCTGTCTTGGGGGTGGGAGTTCTACAGGTTTATTCATTACTCAGTGTCCTCATCTGTCGAACCTCTGGGCCCTCCTGTTCTGGGCCACTGGTTTGATCAGACAACTGACTGTCATCAGTCATGACCCATTGCACCGGCAGCAGAGATTAGCAGGCCTGCTGATTATGTCCCTGTCCTCAGTCAGCAGCGCCACAAGCTTTGTCTGTCCTCACGTAGAACAGCTGAGCTCCAGGGAAATACCTCTTCTGGCATACCTGCATGTTTGCATCTATTTTTCCAGTGTTACATCTGCTTTAGGCTGAGAAACGTTAAAGCTTTCCTTATGCCATGATCTAACTCCATGCTTCTCTTTATCCATAGCAAAACTGGTTTGAAAATTCCCCTTCCTTGCCCCTGCTCTCCTGTGCAGTGCTCTCCCCAAGACTACAATGTGCTGTCCCTCATTGTGCCAGGATATCTGGTTTGGGATCTTTCCCCATTGACAAGCCTGCCAAAGCCATACCCCTCTTTCCTTCTCTGTTCTGAGTAATGAAGAAAAGGGTCTAATGGCATTTTTAAATGGCAAATTGTTCCTTGGGATGGAAGCCTTTCACTTTATATTCACTAAGAGTAGAGGAGAAGGAGAAAGTAGGGATAATGGAAAGTAGGGAATGTACTAGTAGACCATCAAGCGTACTGCTGATGGGCTAGACACTGCTGGGGAGACAGAGGAGCGGGGAAGCCTCAGTGTGGCTCCTGCTTCTTTATCCAGTTGTACCTAGGCTTAATATTTCATAGTTATTTAACACAATAGGTATTTTAATTACATTTAGAGGAATGTGGCTTTTTTCTAGACAAGGCAGAGACTGGCACGTAGGCCACCTTTGACTCCTTGTGTCAAATCGTTTTGTCAAACCATCGTATACCATTACATATTTTAAACACTACCGAGAGTATTTTATCCTGCAAATGTGACCTCAAAACTTGAATCTGTCTGTTGCAAACAGTTGGTCAAAAGGGAAACGGTACATTACAGAATGACCCTCAACGGAGTTTTCATCTTTTATTTATAATTGGGTTTATTATTGCAAGCTCTTGTTGCACGCCAGCTATCAAATCCTCAGCAGGCGTAAATCAGCACTCAGGTTAATGGAGCTAAACTGATCACTGCCAGATGAGGATACAGCTCTACTTGTAACCCAGGGATAAAATACAAGCTTCTCTATAGTGCTGAGACTCTGAGAGCTAGAACAGGCTGGCTAGTGAATTACTGGTTAGCTGAACATAAGAGGAAAACGCATTTCCACCCCAATCCATGCTCAGGCAACTCACTCTGCTGCTTCCACACATCTTTAGGGAAGAGCATTTATGGAAAACAACTTGAAGATATATGTTGTTAGGGTAAAGGAGGGCCCATGGGCGAAGGACAGAAGCCACTAAAGCTGTGTAAACTGTCAAAAGGATGATTACTTCTGGCAAAGGTCATTCTCACGTACAAAGAGGAAAATGCATCCTTTTTCAGGGGAAGATATAAGGGCCTTCTTGTGTAAGCTCTTTCCCAAGACCTTTGCTTTCTGAGCCTCCCCAGAAAGCGAGAGGGGTCAGACTTGTGACGGGCAGGGAACAGGACCAGAGAAATTGTAATTTATCTTGATGTACTGATTTACTTTCTAATTAAGAATTCCTCTTAATAGAAAAATCTTCCAGAAACAGGAAGGAGCTGCAGGAATGGAGCTTCACTGAGCAGGTGTGGGTGGCAGAGCCTTCTTTTATTACTAATCAGCATAGTTATGCCATTTATAGAAAAGGACATGAGGCTGTGCAAGGAACTTTCTAAAGAAGAAAAATACACCCCTGCTTTGAACAGCAAGCGAGCTACATAGGGTGGCCCATAAGAAAAGCCTCGTAATAATGCCTCCCCTGTCTTGGTGAAAGCAGGAGGTGAAAGTGGATTTACACGGTACTCCCAAGGCACTCTCAAATTCTGTTAGGAAGGGCGAGAAAGCCTGTGAAGAGCTGAGCAGGCCAGTCGGGTAATCTGGACTTCACAGCTTACGGCGGCAGCTGGCACGTGGCCGTGGTGTGGGGCAGGGACTGCTCAGAGGCCGTGTGGCAGTCTGAGAAGCCACGAAGCGGGAGCGGGCCGTAGAGTCCCGGCCCCTGAGTTCTGAAGTGATGTACATACAGAGCTCAATGGGACGAGTGGAGCACATGGCAGCAAATATCAGGAAATCCCTGAAAGAGAAGTAACACCTTTTTCATCCAACAAAAACCTTTCTGTAAAGGTCTGTAAGCACTGCTAGGACATACGCTGCACAGCTCTGGGACAGCTTCATTCCCGTTGCTCCCTTTCAAGGCTGAAGTGAGACACAGCAGACCTAAGAAATGTAGCCACGCTGTGTATAAGGTTAGTTTCAAATGGAGAAATGGCACTTAAATGTCCAGAGTCTGAGATTTTAGGCTCCAGCTCCATTATTTCAGCTAAAGGAGATTATTTTAGCAGTGCATGATAGAGTCATAGATACACACTGAATGTACTAACTGCATGTGGTAGATGAGTGTAACGCAATAACTGAATAAGGTTTTCTAGTTTTCAATCTGTAGTTAGCAGGAAGAGCAAGTGATTTTTTTTTTTTTTTTGTTGGCTCTCTAACCGGTTTAAGATCAAAGCTCATTAGGTCTTATGAAATAAACAAAAAGCTCTTGAAATTAAATATGTTAGGAAAGCTTACACTTACAAAAGATGTTTCTTTAAAAGGTTGCAGGGCAGTAATACTTTCCCTAAGTCTTTGGCTTCATTAGAATAATTAAAAGGGGTGGTGCAGTGTTTTTTAACTGCAGTAATGTTAGGCAGGCAGAAGGTGCACCCTGTGCTGGACCGTGTCCAGCAACCTTCGTTTCCTGACTACGGCACAAACCGGCTCCCACGTCTGCATGCACGATTCCTCTTCTCGTATTTCTTCTCTTAATAATAATGCAGCCGTAATGTCTGTCCCACACGTATGTTTTATGTAAAGCATGGTTAACATTGAAAAGTGTTATTTTCATCTGAAGATAGTGGAGTCTTTCCTGATTAGGAGGCAGGTTTCTTGCAGTTCTGTAAGAAACATATTTTCTTTTCCATCCAGTTATAATGATCATGTGAGATGTGACAAGGAAACAGGAGCGCAGGACCAAAAGCCATCTGTTTCTTTTTTGGTATTTCATATTGCACGGAGCAAGAAGGTGGCAAAGCTTATATGCTTAAACATGGGGGTATAAAATATGATAGTAACATTTAACATGCTGTAAAGAAATGTCTTTGAACCAAAACCAGATTTTTTTTTTTTTGTTTTTACCAGGACCCATTACCACAGCTATAGTAAAACTGGCTGCCACTTGTCTTTGTGAAAACTTTGCTTATAAGATATGTTGCATATTTAGTTTAGACAGTACAGTGGGTGGAAAGTCAGCTTCCATTCCTGAAAATAAGTAGTTTCTTCTTCAAAATTCTGATACTGCTTTTTTTTATCATTATTATTCCACATTGTGCCATTCCTGAGACTACTCTTATAAGTAAAACTTGCTTTCATTCTAAAAACTGAAGTTTACTGCTAATTCTGGAGGTAGAATGTAAATGTTGAATAGATTTCATTGATTTTTAACTTTATGAAATGTAGCCTTTTGCACGCACAGTTAGACTTTTGGTATTCTCAGGTACGTCCATACCAAAGCCTACCAGTGCTTTACTCTGCAGCTTATTCCAACCAAGTGTATTTTGTCCTTTTTCTTTCTGCTTGCCATATGACCTTCTACTGTATTTACCCAAAGTGTGGATTTCCACCCTGCAAAATGCATAATGGGGGTTTACTTAGCAATAAGCTCCAGCGGTGGGTTTTAAAAGCCATACACCGGTGTTAGATTTGAAAGCAACACACTGAAAAAAAGGGGTTGTGCACATCTTGTACTAGCATTGACACACTCGTACCGAACCCCTTCTCTGCTTTCCCCTCACATATTCTGTACCTTTGCAGCCTTCAACTGCATCGTTTAGCTGCAGTATCCCTACTGTGGATGACCAGATTAAAAAGTACCGCCGTAAATATACCTGGAACTTAGAAAGGAAAGGGAAATAATTGCCCTCTCTTTCATCTTGGGACTAAAGTGCCTTTTCAATCAAAGAGATTTCCACTGCGTGCTGAAGACTATTCAGATGAGAAGAATACGTTTGGGATATTTGGGCTAGTTAGCGCTCACTTCCCTTTTTTCTGCATTAACAGAATAGCCCTCTTTGTAAGATCACCCAATTTTTTAGACCTTTGTAAAAGTTTAGGTCAGTCTTGCAGTCCTGTGCTTTTGTTGGCCTGTCACCAGTTGGATCCCGTTTATAGAGAGTCTATTATTTTTCCCTTAACTACTTGCATAGCCCCTTTTCTCTTTTGTGGTGCAAGCCAGAATTCCTGGAAGCAGGTTTTACTGCCTGCGGGATCTCGAAGGCCGCCTTCTCCACGGACGTTTCCCTCTTCAACTGGCTGAATGCCACACTGCAATTTATAATTTATTCAGTGGATCCATTACTGATTCTCTGTGTATGTTTTTTGTCTAGACTGAGGAAGGGCAAAAAGTCATTCCGCCTAAGTCTTCTCGGGAGCTGTCAGAGAGAGGCATCCTCTCACAGATACAAGAAGTAGTAACTGCTGGTTTTAACACAATTGCACACGAGTTTAAAGATATTGACTCTTCAAAAGATAATACAGTATCAAAAGAGGAGTTCTGGGATATATGTAACTGACATTTTCAGCATCTAAGTGAAGAAGACGTAAGAAAACTATATTATTTTTTCTTGTTAATTTAAGTGTACAACTGGGTAAATTGGCCTTGGCTAGAGATATGCGTTTGCACACTGTTGTGTATAGGCAAGTAGTTTAAAAATTTGGATGAAATGAAAATGTTTTAAGACTATCATTCCATGAACAGTTGTTGCTACATTTGTGGGAGATGATTATTTTTTTCCTTATCTCTGAGTATGGCTATGAACTATAATAATCGCAGGCTTTCTAAAGCAAAGTCACGGAGATGCTATTGCTAATAGGAAGGTGTGAATTTAAAGCACAGTAGTTCTCTTTCACTAGTTCTTTATCTGTATATTTGCTATTTTAAAAGTTTCTTTTTTCAGTTTTAAGTTAATCCACTTCCAGTTGATGGGGAAAAAAACCTTCACAGCATGGAATAAAAAGCACTGCCATGGGGAGCTAATGCAAATTCCTTTTTCTCAGCAGCTGTTTTGTCCTGCCCTCGTTGGACAAAGAAAGGGGCAAGCATATGACATTTCCCGGCCACCTCTCAGCTACTTTTCTGGGTTAAAGATTCCCCCAGATTAGCATCAGCAGAGTTGAAGTAACCTTGAATTTAGCTTGAGTGACTGAAGTCATGGCATGAATCTGGCAGCACAAACCATCCAATTAGCCCAATGCTAATCTCAGGGGAACCTGAGAGGCCAGTCTTTCATAAGATTCTGCTTCTGCTGGACTTAAAACGAAAAGAGCCATTTTTTATCTTTGCTAGTGCTGGTTCAATGTGATTTTTCCTAGTCCAAACACTAGGTGAATAATAAAACAGAGGGAACCTTGACTAAAAGATTTCAGATTTTACTTAACAGCACTCTAACCTTCATGCTCAGGACTGCATCAATGCCATTTGGCAGCAAACTGAAGGACAAGACACAGAGCCTTCAAACTCATATGCATGTCTGCACTACAGAAAATTATTTCAGTACTTTGCTCATTCAGACATATCCTCTGATTTCTTGGCCCTGTACTTCCCAGCAACATTTTTGACTACAAATTGCAGACAGGAGTGGGGCCTGCTTGTAATTATAGCAAAGATATTGCACAGTCTGCCATGTTAGCAGGTGCTGCTATGCATGTGCGAAGTTGCAGATGAAAGCACTGCAAAAAATCAAAATATTTTCCACTTCCCCCTTGAAAATAGCAGAAAAAAATGCAAATGACCTGTGTGCTCTATTCCTAGGAGCCCCACTTCTGGTGAGGTACTAAGTGCAAGTGCCAGTTCTGAACCTGGAGCCTCAACACCAGGTGAAAACAAAAGTGAAAATGTGGTGACACTCTTTAGAAGCACCAGGGTGAGCTCGCGGCTGACCCCCGGCCGAGGCAGGAGAACGCACACCTTCCTGAGCTGTGAAAAATCTCAGGTTTTTTTGTTTTCTGGAAGCAGCAAGGCAGACTAGATCCTGTCTACTTTACGCTCAAGAAGCAGCAAAGGGACACAGGAGCTATTTTATACTTAAAAGAACCTCAGACAACTGAAGAAAAAAAATCTTGATAGAAACTGTCATCCATAATAGCAACGAGAAGCAGGCCTGAGGAGCCTCATTTATATAAGCAGCAGCCTCTGTGTGAGTGAGACTCAAGCCCTGTATCTCCAGAGATATTTTGATTTTGACAGGCCTCTCAAAGATATGCCTACGTATATCAATATGAAGATGCCCCAGGAGAGCCTTCCAATCTGGGTACAGGGTTTGCCACTGCTAATCCAAACCCCTGTCGTTTAGGCTGTTGTCACTGCTCAGAGTTGTTACAGAAGTGTTACTAACAGTCATAGTCTGGATGACTTCACAGAAAATGTCTTCTTTTATCCTTTTCTGGATGATGGCCACTTACTGTTTGCTGTTAGTAAGGCTCAGCTGGGATCCGTATCGAGTAGTGGATGAAGAATTTCTTCCTGAAGTTTGGCTTCTTGGTCTTCTGAATTTCTGATGCTGTCACCTTTTTCATAAAAGGCTAAGGATGGTAAACAAGCTGCAAGCAAGGTGTTGATTAATATCTTGCCAACTGACATCCCCCTTTTTATCACAGGCGCTCTTCTCCTCTCTGCTTGAACTTCCTTGACTTGCTTGAACTATCTGCAATCCCCCAAATGGCTAAACTTTGTTGGGTGTTGAAATAGTTTCTAACTATAGCTAACCCAGCTCATTAGGGTATTGTTCTATTTAATTGAAGTTTGTAATACACTTTGAGATCCTCGTATGAAGTGTGAAGTATAATCACAAGCGCAAAATAGAATTGTTTATAATTCATAATGTGGTAGCAGCCAGGCCAATGGGGGAAAGTTAAAAGGAAATTCAAAATGTATCCTTTGCCCTTTGAAGTTTGACTGCAACTTGGCACATGCATCAAAGAGGTGACTGGTTTCCTTTAGGGTTTAAGTCTCTGCCGAAAAAGATCAAATCAAAAGCAATCTGAGGTTCCCAATTAGATTTACATTAAAAATCAATAAAGACGACCCTTAAAAAGGCATACTGATCACTCTTGAAACACTCACAAAATGAGTGCAGCTTGTTTAAGGGCAGGCTGTGATAATCCTTGCTTTGATTAGCAGCTTATATCATGAGTAGTCCCATTTAATTCAGTGCAGCTAGTTACTGAATAAAGTGCTGTTCAGCGGGAAATCAGCCCAGCCTCGTCCTTACGATTCCATAAGTAGCCCAGAGGGTGGGCTACCTGCCCTGTGTTGGGCCAAGCAGCCACACGGACCTCCACGGGCAGCAGAAGTGAGGGTATCAACAGCTGCACCCAGGTCTTCTGTAGGCTGGCCGTATTGTAGAGGTACGGTTCCTGGCCATACGTTGTAACTGTATGTGATTCTAGAGGCTGTAAAGATTTCCTGCTATGTTCTTTCATGCTGATTCACTTTTGCCCTCAGGGTGAAATAAGTTGTTGATGCAAATACAATAACTGAGGAACCTTAATGGCCTCCTGAGATGGTGGTATAACTTAGGCACACCTGATAGCATGAGAAATTCGCCCCAATGGTACCTAGCCAGGATACAAGTGCACCATGTATTTGATTTACATCTCATGTTAAAGCGTTATTCTTCTATACTGCAGCTCAATCACTGTGTCTAATCACAGGGTTTAGTACTTTAAACAGCACACTAAGGGCCCAATTCAATTAAAAAATGTCCTGCAGAAATCCCTTTTTCATTGTTTTCCCAGCCTTGTGCAGGCTTCTGCAGAGAAGCTGTGATTTTTTTTTAATAAGATAGGCCGTAGGATTCCTTCTATTCCAAGGCATCCTCTCCCTTTCTTTTTGATACGTGTTGTCATATCCTTAGTACATAAGGGGGTTCTGTTGTTGTAAAACTAGCATTTACAAAAGTCATCTTTTGCTTCTTCATTAGTCTGAAAATCTTTGGAACACAGTGGATGTCAGCGCTGACGGACGGTTGAAGTATCAGGACTTTTTGAGGAAGTTCAGCTCAGAACTTGTAACGATGCCATCAAGCACTCCCAGTGCAACCAGGTCTGCAACTTCTATCAAGCCAGCTCCCGGTGCCGTGCAGGAGCCACATATGTCTTCTCAGCCTGAACGTCCCAAGACATCATCTTCTCTAGTAGGGCAAAGGAGCGTAAGTGTGGTTGTTTTATGAATTTTCTGGATTTTCATTTTTGTGCAGAGGCTGAAAATAATACCTGTGGAACTCAGTGAAGGTATTTCTATTGATTGCCTGTGAAATCAGGCACAACGACCCGTCAATAAGCAAACGAGGTAATTTGCAAAACTGTGTTATAATGACAAAAATTGGGCCAGACAGTAAATCCACTAAAGTCAAAGGATATATGTCAATTTATACCAACAGCATTCCCTGACATTACCGTACACATATCCATCAGACCTCTATGGCAAATAAAATTTCTGTGTTTAAGCACAATCAGATTTCTGAGAAAAAAGTAAACAGCCCAAATTACAAAGGCCCAATAGCTGCAAAAGCAGCATAAAAAAATATAGACAGCTTATCTGTGGTCATCTGACAAAGCTAGGCAGGATTGGCAGTTGCAGTTTTCTAGTAGGCATTTGCTGGCCTGTCCAAAACATTTTGGTGGTCTTCCCTGCTTTCTGGTGGATGCCAAATTACAGTTGTTAATGCCTGATAGTCTGACTGATAGACTTGCCATGAAGGTCAGTGATCTGAGAGAAGTAAGAGAAGTGAATTAGGAATGCAGTAGTTTTGCTTCATTTTTGCATCCATACCTATACTTCATGTCAATAATGCACTTTGGTCCTCTCCACTGCCATGCTGGCCTCTTACCCTGGTGCTAGAATTCACAGAAAGGTGGGGAAATCATTACAGGCAGAAAAATTAAATATCCCCCTTGTGGAGCTGCACCTACCTATTCCACGTTCTTTGGCTAAAACCAAACCTACAACAGAAAAATAAAATATTTAGAATTATTCAGTGTCTGGAACATGCTTGGATTTTCTTACGACTTCTACATGGAGATGTTTAGCTACTGAAAAAGAAATAACAGATTGAGCAAATTAAAGATGCAAACAACTTGTCAGGGCTGGTAAATCTAAACATTGGCCCATTGCTAGCTCAATTATTGTATTAACTATAGGTTCTTTCTTGAAAAGCCCAGACAATTAGCTACATGCATCCTTCATGCTTTGATCCAGTTCCCAGAGAAAGCAATGGAAAATTCCTTGTTACTGCCTGTGAATAAGACAATAGGAAGGGAACTTAAGTCTCCCCAAACTTAGGGATGTTGGAAAGACCCCAGCCAGCCTGAACGCTGATCAGGATGAATGGTCCTGCAGCATTCATTGCATGGAAATGTGTGTGAAGGCCTCAGCAAGTCTGCACCAGCGAAACCCTCAAGTGAGCACTGGGAAGTCTCACTATATATGAGATTATACACTGGATCTAGAAGCATAAATACCGCTTGTGCACGTACTGTACAGTGATAGGCTGAGGCTTTGCTTCCAGCTCACCCACAGCACTGCTGAAGCAGCAATCAAAAAGACACTGAGCACTGGGATCCTCTCACGTCATTCCTTCTGTGGCTCTGCATAGGACCAGGAGTTCTCCCAGTAACAAATCAAAGCAACGTTATTCCATAATTCAGTGACTTTGCACTGGTTTAGTTGTTTGTTCTAAGATGGCGCTACATAGCTTTTTTTTGAACACGGTATCTCTCATTTAATAAGAAACAGTTTGGAGAAACTATAAATGATTTACAAATTAAGCCAAATAAAGAAAAGGTGGTCAAGGCCCATTAAATGAATAGCATCATTTTGACACTAAGAGTGTTCTCATATTTTTACCTACAGTTTTGCAGACACAATACAAATCAGACTTAGAAGTGGCTCAAATGATACATTAACCTGAAGTTTGGAAGACTAGGAACTGGATTTGTCATCTGGTGGTTTGTCTACACAACCAGTAAAACTCAATAGAAAAAAATTACCATTATCTCTTGCTTTTAGATACCAACATCCAGTCGTCCTCAGACAACAACAACTTGTTCTACACCTATCCTTAACTGTGAAACAATAGAAAATAAGATAAGAAAGAACATCCAACATTCCTGGAGAGGCATACTGAACGCGTGCCAAGAGAAGGATGTCAGCAAGCTAGGAGAAATCGCAGTGTCAGACTTCCTAGGTTTGTTATCATCTGAAAAGTGCTTTACTCATTCTCAGATGCATTCTGTTTTCTTTCTGGTGTCCCAGCCATAGGAATATCTGGCCTCTAGTAAGTGGCATCCACTGCGCGATTGCTCCAGGTACCACCCTGCTATTGCAAAGCAGAATAGCTTACAGTAGCCTTGGGTGCAACACATTCACCTCCCTATTCAGAATTACCTGCTCCTTGGAAAAAGCGTGCACGGCTTTGCTTGTGGGTATGTACGGCATGTACACAAGTTTCTCATCACCTTCCCAATACTCTACCCTTGCTGTGCCTGGGCATATTTGAATAAATAGATTCACCAGTCTTTTCCTTGTGGGTGCTTCTGGTTGCACTGGTCTTGATGGCTGAATGCCTGCTGATTTGAAAGGACCCTGGATTTTACTCTTAGAAGAGCTGAACTATGCTGCTCTTCTGTTGTGTTCTCTTCTAGAGAGAGGATTTTCTGTGCCTTTGTTAGGACGCTTCCATGTGTGATAAGACAGCGTGCACCTGTATAATCAAATGTAAAGTCCTGGCTATAAGAACATGTTAGCTTATGAGATCTTTTATCTCAGTTAATGTCAAGGAGTACTTGTTGTGCATTTAAAATCAAAATGACATGTTATCAGTCCCCTGAAACCCTGTAGAATGTGAACTGCCACCTTGTAAGTATAGGCGTATGCATATAGCTGCGTATAGCAAGAACTGCACAGCACACTTACGCAGCAGTCGCTGCAACTGATGACCTGTCAACATATTCCTGCTAGAACTTGTGAACACAGGACAACGACTGGCTATTTTTAAGAATGACAAAATGAGTATTCTTTCCTTGCATTTCAGATATAGCAGAGAAGTTCAATTTGGATTTAAGTGAAGGGGAAATTAATCAAATAACAACAAAATATGCTTTAAAGAAAAATGGAAGATTTGCATACTACGATTTCCTTCAGAGTTGTATCTTGTTGTTAAAACCACAGGAAAGGTCACTGCTACAGAGGGTAATTATACAGAAGCCACAAAACCCGGTAGGTACAATGTTCATAAAAATCAATATTACGATTTTTTTTCAGTTTCTTCTGTACAGACAGGATATTTCATGGCCTGTTTCTATAGTCACTTCATGCAGGGACTTCCCAGCATTTTCTTATTTAATCCCATGATATTAATTTCCTAGTATTCATTTGGTATTTCCTTCAGTTGGAGGATTTAACTCCTTGGGATCATGCTCTATGTGTTCAGGTTATATGGTAAATTGGCTAAATTTGCTCGAATTTGGAATATAATTCCAAATAGAAAACACGGGAGCTGATGGTGTAAGAGCTTTTGTTGAACTAAATAAAAATCAAGCTAGAAATAAAAAGTGCATGGGATGTGTCTTAGGATGGCCCCAACTAGAGATCTTGTCAGCAGGCTGTGCCTCTGCTCCCCACCCAGCACTGTAAGAAAAGCCCAGAGGAAGCTCTCACTTGCACTGCTGGTAACGGTCACTAAAAACATCTAGTAGCCAGGACTGGTCAGCACACGTTGCGCCCTTGCAGCTCTCCCTGCCACACATATCTGCTTCCCAAGCTGCAATGAAGAGGCAAAAGAGTCCCAGCAAGGCAGCTACACACAGGCTGTTTCCCTCTGCCCACAGTACCGCTCTAGGGCGGAAAAGATCAGAAGAGACACAAAAATCTGGCTCTCGTGGCCCAGAAAGGAAGGCATCGGTAATAGCATCCCAATCAAGTTATGTAGTAGGAACAGTGCCAAATTCCAAATCTGCTCATTCAGCGAGCCTGTTACATTTTTAGGCTGTTTCTGACTGTGCCTAATTAGTTTAGATATGGTTAGTAGCAGCATTTTATAGAGAAATTACATTACCGAACTGTTTTCAGATGTGGAACGAACAGATTGCTACCAAGGTATGAAGAGAGTATCATTAGGAATTATCAAGTATTCACTAGCAGTAGGGAGAGTAAGGTAAAACTATTAAGTTTTGCATCAAAGAACTTCATTATCCATAAGGTTTCTTTTATACACAAATTTGAGGATGTAAAATTCCATCCCAGTATTCTAGAGTGGATAAAGCAGTAATTTTTAAGTGCCTATCTAGTTGTGTCAAATAATTTTTATTTTATTTATTCTATTCAGAAAAAATAATGAAGGTCTCAGTACATGTTCTGAGCACCTTTATATAATGTAATATTCAAAGTGAAATTTCCTCATAGATTGCTCAGCCCATTCTACCTAGTAAGTGCACAAATAACACATCAAAAGGAATAATAAAAAAACAAATAAAATCTTTTTTTTTTTTTTTGGTGGCAGGCACAATTCCTTCTCTTTCTCAAAAGCCTGAGAGAATAAATGGCCTAGGGCTTCATGGAAGCATCCAGGCTCTGAGCTATGAAAATAACCCAAGTTGAAATCATCGTAAAGTGCCCTTTCCCTCCCTTCAGCTCACAAGGATACTCAATACTTTGGGTTGGAAACTGCATTATTCATGTGCCCACTCATTCCTCAGCTACATAGTCTGAACGAGGCATACCCCAAGAGCAGGGAAAGAAGGTGCCTCTGCCCCCCAGGCCTCTTACAACTCGTGTAGGTGCAGCACAGCCTCTGTGTCCACATAGTAGATGTATAAAGCCAACCGTGCATTTCCTTCACAAGGAGATGCTTGTAGGGACTCCACTGGCACGTGCAACTGGCACAAACAGGGCGCTATCGACTTACCCAATTCCAGTAATAAACACCAGGAGCGTGCAGGGGGAAGCTGAGATGGAGCTGTATTTTAAGAAAACAGTAGAGCAGATCCAGACGCTGCAGGTGGACTGGGGCTTGCTGACTTTTCCCAAAGTCCCTTACTCATCACTCCAGTGTTGAAGCTTTGTACAAGCAGAATTAATTTTACCTTAATGAATAGTTCTGCCGTTCACATGTGTTCAGGGTACACCACTGTAATAAGTTTAGCCAGGCTAAAATAACAGGCCACAACATGTCCCAAGGAAAATTAACCCTATGGTCCAGCTGTGGAACTGCAGAGAAGTTCAAAATATTTTATGTACTGGGAAAAGTGTACAGTAGGGGTTTGTTTCTTCTTTACTACCGTACCAGTCCCACAGTTGGCTTATGCATTCAGTCACTTCTAAGCAAAAATTTCACTCTGAAAAATGAACACTGCAGAGAATTAAAAATGACTGAAAGAGGGAGTTGAAACAAGGACAAGCATAATACATATGAAAACACTGAGATCTCGGCAGAAGTAACACTGACTTCAGAATCAGTTTCAAATAATAAAAAGTTAGGGCTTTGACAGTGATTAAGTAAATATACCATCTGCACTTCCCAAGAATATCAAAATGTTATAGGTTAAAATAATCTTGCGTAAACAGTATCTTGCAATAATTTGTAAACAAGTATTCAGCAGCCAGTCGCAGATTAAGGCAGCATTACAGTCCAACACCTTTTCATTCTGCATTATAGTTGTGCCCAGTTGTGCTCATGATGATGTTAGTAAATGCGAGTCTTTCTCATCCCACTTTGTTAGATGAGTCCTGGACCACAAACCACGTCATTCTTCAGCGCAATGCTGAGAATTCAGCCCCAGATCTTGCGCTGCTGGAGACCAATGAAGCGAACTTTTAAATCCTATGACGAAAGTCATACTGGACTGTTAGATATTGCAGACTTCAGACAAGTAAGTTGCATTTAGCAATTAATAGTCAGAAAGTCACAGTAGTCTAATCTGAGCTTCCTGACTGAAAATTTTCTGAAAAATGGTACTGACCCAGAATGCATAGACTCATCCCGGCCCCTCTTTGTGACTTCAGCTCTGACCATTACTCACGGTAATCTTTCTCCACATGTGACTACAATTCCTTGAGGTCTGAGGTCTTAGTGGCGTCCTGAATAGATAAAACAGAGAAAAACTTTGGTCCCTGTAAAAAGTTTAAATGCCTATCTTTCACAAACATGTGGGAAGGGAACAGAAGCGTACCTTCTGGTAGGTCTCCCTTCAGGCATTACTACAGCTGCAGGATCCTGTGACCCTCCAACTGGTGCGGTCCCTTCTAAATGTGGAACGGGATCAAGGAATCCTCACTTGCGAGCCTCTGTTTCTGGTTTCTCTCTCTGCTCTTCTGAGTGCAGCATAGTTTTGTATTAGGCAAGGGATCCATATCCTCTGTAAATATTTTAGTACCTTGTATCTCCTCAAATACGCACCTGTGTATTCTGGATATCAGTGATTCTTCATCTAGATCCATGGGGAGCTTGATTTTTGCTTAGCTGTACTGGTTTCAAAATCTTTGATGTTGTTTTAACTAGGAATAATAATCATTATCTGTTCTGGAGTAATTCTGAATATTTGTTATTCAACTGCAAGAAAAAAAAAAATAGCGTGAGGCCCTAAACCCATTTAATGGTGCGTGCATTAGGACACCCCTTGGTATCACTACTGCTTCAAAGAACTGACCAACTCGTGGACGGGATGCTCAGTCACAGCAAGCCAATGCTTGGCTGCAATAAGCAATGACAAGGTGTGCTTCTGACGCTCCCCTTCCCCTGGAGCTGCAGGAAGCCAGCTTGCTGCCTGGCAGACTGCAAACCTGGTCAATTAGACCAGTCACAGGAGTGCTCTTTTAAATCTTTACTTATTTAGGACTGGTGGGAATGTGATATGTTCTAGCACTGCCGCATAGCTGAAAGCTAAGTCCCTGCCTGCTCCCCTACGAAGGCTGAGGAGCAAGATCTATCAATGTGGCTGTATATCAGCTTCATGCCTGAGGCTCCCTGTCCATCACTGCAGCTTTCTGACTGCTTGGCCACTGCCTCAGCAGACCAGGCTCAGGGGAGAAGGAGTGAAGATCAGGCTCCTTAGCCTTTGATTTTAATTTGTCATGTTCCTCTAGGACGTGTGATGATTACCATTTATAGTTAAAGCAATGTCAACAACTTTCAAATCAAGCTTTCTAACATGATGTAAGCTAAGCAAAAAAAAAACAAAACAAAAAAACAAAACAAAACAAAAACAAAAAACAAAAAACCAACCAACAAACCCACAACCAAAAAACTAACTCCTCGTGGATCTAGATCAAGAAGAAATCCCCAATTCCAAAATCCTACTACAAAGGTGTTAATCTGCTGTTTGACAAGATATCAAGTGATTTGTGGAGGTAGAGATCCCTTTATCTCCTAGGTAACTTAATTTACTGAAACGGAGAAATTAGCTCTCTACTAACTTCAGTAACACTGCTATTTATGGCTGTACTATCTGCAAGGGGCCATAAGCAATTTCTGATACCGAGCTGTTAAGAGGGAAAGGGGGAGACTAATCTGAGTTTGCCAGAAAACTAATGACAACTGTCATAGCACACAAGGACACACCACGTTGCTGGTCACTTTCAGGGTTTAAATTCCCGAGTGTATCTAAAACCAGAAGTAATCCTCAGAAATTAATGCACTATTTTCTTTCATGTTAGGGCATTGAGAACATTTAAAACTGTTGAAGTGCTGAAAAAAATGCCCCAGGTGAAATATTTGAAAGATGGAGGTATCTAACCTGGCTTTCAGCATCAGGTGAACCAGATGCATCCTGTTCAAGTTGGGTTCTCACTGAAGTGTTAGGACGGCACGCTTACAGGCTGAGCATTTGTCCCATGGAAATTAAAAGCACTGAGTGCATCACGGGCATTATAATATACATGGGGGTTTGCACAGTTTGAGTGACTGGATTATTCCTTCTGTTTCTCTGGATGCAAAGCCTGCAGATCATCCAAGGAGGATGGAAAGGAAGATATTCCACCTCTTCGTCTCATCTCTGGATAGTAGTGGAAGCCTTTTAAACATGTACTTTTTGTAAATTAGCTTCTATGCTCATGGGTGCTACGCATTTCCCGATGCTCCCTCAGGCAAGTGCTAGTTGGGCTAGTGGACAAAACCCCTGCGTATGCAGGTTTTCAAATATGCATCCCAGGGAGCCAGTATTGGCATGGAAAGAGTAAGAGATAATAAAGGAAGGTTTGATTTTCTAATATTCTGAGAAACCTAAGACAGAGTGGAACTGAATCATCAAGTTATTTTGTAAAGAAATCTTAGCTAGATAAGCGAATGTTTTTGCTTCTTGCTCACCCAAAGCACTGGAACAAATTTTAAAGTTGTCTCTGTCTTTTGTAGGTTCTTCATGAGTACAACATCAACCTAACTGAAGAGGAGTTATTCAACATTTTGGAATATTATGATAAAACTTTGTCTTCAAGAATATCCTATAATGATTTTCTCTGGGCATTCATACAGTAGGATTTGGTCAAATGCAGGAAACTGTAGATAAAGACGGTGACTGATTTATAATTTCAAATTTCAAACTAATAAATTAATTGAGTATGGCTTTTTTGTATCTATTCATTAGAAAACTCAAAATACTTTAAAATTCTGACAGTGGTCCTGTGTTGTGGATTAAATCTACACAGTGAGGGAATTAATTTTGCATAATCCATTTATCAAAAAAGAAAAAGACAACAATTAACATTGTCAAAATAATGCTTCCCAAGACGTCTCCAAAAGCAATTCATTTAAGGAAATTCTTTTTTCAATTTTACACATTTTATTAATGACATACTCTTAACTTCAGTAAAAAGGTTTACAAGACATACTATTGAATTTCCTCAATTGTCATTTTCCAAATGTATTACTTTTAATACATTAGCCTTCATTATTCAACGAAATCATCCCATTTCTCGGTGCATCTTTTTCCTCTACTTGCAGAGTCATATGTGTATTGTCAAAGACAGGTTAATATCGACCGGCCATTGAAGTCTGAGCAGATGTCAACTGTGTGTGGACACCACACCTTTCTCTGTTAAAACTGTTCTTCTACATCCTTCAGCACAGTTTAGAAAAGAAGGTACTTTACCAATAAGCATTGGCTGCTTAACTGCAGAGAAATATTCCCAGTGTTAGCCATGAGGTTTATTTTTTTAAGGATACTATATATATATATATTTATACAATAAACAGTGAATTGCAAGTAAAAACTCTGGTTAGATTTCCCAGGTCTGGAAAAATTCTGTTTGAACATCTTGTGAGGTACTTAGATCTTGGTGAGGAAATTAAAAGATAATTGTTTGACTGTTGAACTCGTGATAATTAAAGGATAATATGATCATCAGAGCCTGCTTTCTGGGATTATATCAACAACTAAACACTTACCTGCTCTGAAGAATTGTTAGATAAACATTTCACTGTTTGATTCCTGAATTAGTTTTCATTGGTACGCCAAAGAGCCCTGTCCTCATCACTTGAACTGATTTGCTATCTTTCTTTCTCCCAAGAAATATATAAAGATAAGTCAACAGAAATTAATAAAACCAAAAAAAGAGAGCAAGTTATGGGTGTACAAACACACATGCACACACATCTCTCTCTCGGGAAGTGTTTGGAAT